CCTGAGGCTAATCGTGAGGAAACAGTGACAAACCTGCAGCAGAGACAGTCCACACAGTGACTGGGCGCTTCTCACCACACATGTCAACACCCGAGACAGCAGGGAAGAGGGAGAGAGTGTGCAGAACGGAGGGGCTGAGGGAGGAGAGACGTGATCTGGAAGGTTCTCCCTGTGGAAGGCACTCCTAGGACAGTTGGCAAGATCCGAAAACAGGCTGCAGAGTTCAGAGCTGCACTGACATTAAATAAGTCTGAGCCTGATCAGGACCCTTTTAGGGCATTCACAATGAATTGCTTAGGGGCATGGGGTGGCATGTCAGCAGTGACCCTTCTGTGACTTCAGAGAAAAATTCTTTTTAAAGAGAAAGAGCAAATGTAATAAAAGATTAACGTTTGGGGAAGCCAGGACGGAGCTCTGCTCCCAGATGAGAGGCGCAGACTTCAGGTCCCTGTTAGGAAGAGTGACATGGTGACAAGTTTATAAATGTTTCTCTGATTTTCATCAGAGTGAGAAAACAGCTATAACCTGACTTGCAAAAAAGAAAAAGAAAAGGAACCAACACAAAGACTCTCCCTCCAGCTCCCTGAAGCGCCACCAGCCAGAGCCCGGGTCAATCATCTACCAGGTTTGTTCTTGCTGTCCCTAAATCCTGTCAACCATGACCCTGTCCTCCCCTGCCTCCATCCTTTCTGCTCTCCTGTGGCCCTGGTGGAACTTTCTGGCAATGCAAAGCATTGTTAGGAGACAGGAATGAACAGGATCCGTGTCCCAGACCGAGGACTTTAAAAACCACTTTTACGAGTTCAGAGCTTCAGTTGGGGACCTGTCCCTTCGCCAAGCGTGCTGCCCACGGCCTGGCCACCTGCAAGCCCAGCCAGCCCGTGGCTCGATTTAGTGGCACTGCACTGACTGACAGGGTACAGGGGACATGAAGGTAACCAACTCTACAAATCTTCCCGGAGCCACCAGGACATATGACCTGCTGAGGCCAGATGCCCAGCTCAGGGAGCCAGACCTTCCTACCCATCCTCTCGTGACCTCTCTTCCTTCCAAGGAGTGGGCACGACATGCCCCATGACTTCACCCCCTGAATATCATCGCCACTGGGAGATGTTTCCCAAGCACCTGGGGACTCACCCACATTAATTTTTCTTTTCTTTTTTTTTTTTGGTGCCAGTGATTGAACCCAAGGGTCCTTAATCACTTAATCCCTAAGCCACATCCCCAACTCTTTTTATTTTTATTTTTTAAATTTTGAGACAGGGTCTTGCTAGGTTGCTTACTGCCTCACTATATTAGTGAGGCTGGCCTCGAACCTGCAATCCTCCTGCCTTAGCCTCCAGAGCTGCTGGGATTACAGACACACACCATGACCCCTGACTCGCTTTGATGATTTGAGGCAGAAAATGAGGTAGCCTGGCAAAGGAGCCATGGAGAGGGTCATCTTCCATGATTTTTGCTCCTTATGTCTCTGGATCCCACCCATGGCCACCCCCAAGTAGGAGGGAAAGTCTCAACTAAGAAAATCACCATCAAGGGGCTGGGATTGTGGCTCAGTGGTAGAGCGCTTGCCTAGCATATGGGAGGCCCTGGGTTCGATCCTCAGCACCACATAAAAATAAATAAATGAAATAAAGATATCTTGTCCAGTTACAAACAAAAAATAAATTAAAGAGAGAGAGAGAGAGAGAGAGAGAGAGAGAGAGAGAGAGAGAGAGAACCACCATCAAGCCCTGTGGTGATGCATGCCGGTCCTACCAGCAGTTTGGGAGGGTGAGGCAGGAGGATGGAAAGTTCAAGGCCAGCCTCAGCAACTTAGTCCCTGAGACCCTGTCTCAAAAAATAAAAAGGGCTGGGGTGGGGCTGGGGGTAGAGCGCTTGTCTAGCCTGTGAGAGGTCCCGGGTTCCATTCCCAGCACCAAGACCAAAAAAGAACCCAGGATAGTAAAAAAATGTCACATTTGGTAACCCTGCTTAGGATGGCACTCCCTCTGGGGCAGGCTGGGGAGTGGCGGGTGAGGGGCAATCCGAGTGAGTGGCTCGAGTGAGTGGCTCGTCCCTGTCCCCAGCATCTTCTCATGCGCATTGTTCAAAAGGGGTAGAGCCCCGGGGTCTTCGCGGCTCCACGGGGAAGATCTGGATAAATTCTTTGCCTCTGGACGCATCCTCTTCCAACCTGGCAGGACAGGTCTCCTGGGGAGGCGGGGTGCAGCGCACCCGGAGTCCCGCAATCCTCGGAGTCCCGCAATCCTCGGCAGCGGCCCGGGCTTGGGCTGGGGCTGGGCTGGGGCGCCCCGACGCGCATTGTCCCCCCGCCCCGTCTACCTGACAGGACCCCGCCGCACGCCGCGCCTGACCGATTCCCTTGACCCCACGACAAAGACCCTCTTTGTTCGCTGGTAATATCCTTAGCAGGTCTGTCTAGACTCACTGTGGCAGTAATTGTCCCGGGATGTCACCACGTTCTGTGACCCGCTCAGGCAAGGAATGCTACAGACAGCCCCAGCCTAGCGCTCCCTGGCCCTCCACACCCACCTGAGCCTCCCCAGAGACAGGCAGCCGGTGTCCCAGCCCATCACCCCATGTCTAGGGGAGCAGGGACACGTGAAGGGCACAGGCCCTCCTGCAGGAGGTGCTGGGGAGAGGGAGGGGTGTATCTCAGCCCCTGGGGAGGCTGAGGCAGGAGGATCACAAGTTTGGGGCCAGTCTGACAACTTGGACCCGTCTCAAAAAAAAAAAAGTAGCTCAGAGGCTGAGCGCTCCTGGGTCCCATCCCCCGCACTGGGGTCAGCCACCATCCTGGGGAAATATTAAACTGGGAGCTTCCCCCCAACTCCCACTTCCCAAAGAGGCTGGTGGAAACAGTTCACTCTCTGTGGGGTGCAGCCCCCCTCCCCCCAGAGCACGAAGAAGGAAGAGTCAGGAGAGAGAAAGGGTGCAGCGGGGAGCCAAAGCCGGCAGCCTGTGTGTGGGGGGGTGCTCCTTCCATTCAGGGCCTCTTGGGCTTCTGAAAATTCAGTGAGGCCACGAAGCAAGGGCAGCTGGCACCTTCAGGTGCAGGGGGACACACGTCCACTGTCGCCTGCCTGCAGCTGCTGTGGACACCAAGAACAGCCCAAGGCTTATCTTCTTGAAGGATGGAGCTGGCCATCCAAGCAAGGTGTCACCTTTTGTAACAGGCAAATCTGCCTTCATCCAGGGCAATGGAAAAGAACCCACGGCAGCTGCAAGCCACCCCGGGGACACGTCTCACAGATCCCGAGCAGCCACAGGTCACTAATGGTGCCAAGTTCTAAATTGGCAAAACTCACCAAGCAGCGAGCAAGTCAGCAGAGGGCTTAATACCTGGGCTGTGGGGCGCAGCCGGGAAGGGATACAAGGGGCTTCTTGGAGCAAACATGGAAGAACCACAGAATGTTCTAGATCTTGATCCAGACTCAGGGGTGCACATACATAAGACTTCACTGATCCTACAGACAAGTGCCTCCAGTCTGTATGTTTTTAAAGGGAAGCAACCAGATCTGAGAAGACCAGCATCTTTTAATCCGGGGAATGGAGGAGAACCTCCTTATTTCATAAACTTCAGGAACAAAGTGGCACATGAAAAGTTCAGGTCTGGAGAGACGAGGAACCGAGCAGAAAGGGTCTTTCCCCCAGGGCCACAGGATGAAAAGCTGCCAGCCTCCACCAGGAGCCCCGAAGCTCAGAGGGATTTCCAAAGATTGTTTAATTGATTTTTCTTCTATTTAGATGCAGATCGCAGTGTCTGGGGCCCAGGAATTCAGACACTCGGCTTTGTGTCCACTCAGCCCCGTGAAGGCTCCTGTCTGAAACTTGTACAAAGCCAGACACACAAGTCTTCAGAAACACGCTGTTTCTTTTTGTCTGGGGCTCCGGGGAGCGGGTGCGCAAGACGGGCCTCGGACACGCTCCCATCTGCAGGGTCCCGGGACCCCGGCCCTCCATCCTGCTTGCAGAGTGGGGTGGGAAAACAAGGGGGGAAGCAGCCAAGACTCTGAGGTCTCGAGTAGGGGGTGATAAAATAGTGGGGAGGAGGCAGCTGGGGATCAACACCCTGAGAGTTCCATTTGGATTTCTCTCCAAATCCAGGAGTCTGGGCTGAGAAGCATGGAACACTTTAAATCAGGCAGCTAATGGGCTGATTTATATAAGGGGGAAACATGTCTCCCTTTCTCTCTAGTCATTGTTCCCGAGCTGCCTCCAAACGCCCCATATGGCACAGAAATGAGGACAATTCTGCAGGCTGGCACCCTGCTCGGGACACCAGGGAAGACACCCCCCTCCCTGCCTCCAGTAGGCAGATTTTTTTTTTCCATTCCCAATTACTGGAAGGTGACAGTAAGGGTCATTGTACCCTCTCCTACAGGTTTAAGACACCTCCCCCAACCATGTCCCCATCTGGTCTCCCAAACCTTGGAGACACCTGACCAAACACCAGGGCCTCCTCAGGTTGGCCATCTGGAGACCAACCAGAGTCCCCGTTTGTCTGAGTAAATGCAGACGATTTTTGATAAAAAGAGATGAAGGTTCCCTATTTGGATGCTTCCTAGGTAAAGAGGGGCCCAGCCCCACTTATGCACCTGCGCTGTGGAAACAGGTAACCTTGACATCCGTGCCACGACCCCCCAGGACCCAGTATGTAGCTCCCAGCCAGAGCATGGGGGGACTTCTGAAGCCGTGCCACTCCTGTTTCCTCGTTGTGTGACCTCAGATAACTCCCTTGATCTCTTCCCCAGGCCTCAGTTTCTACATCCATAAAGCGGCCACAAGAATAACTGCAACTACTTTGCAGGGGGAATTGAGAGAATTCAAGAGAGCCGGGCAGAAAAAGGCACATTCAACGAATGTAAGCGGCGGCAGGGACTCAGTGAGGTGTGTGTATCAGCCTTGAATATTTCGAAGGAGACTTTCTTCAGGGCCAAGTATTTCTGGAGGAGCCCAGCTCCAGGCCCGACTCCTCCCCTCGGGATCTGAGTTACCTGGACTGCAATCCAGCTGGCGTTCACAGTGTGTTCCCCAAAAGGGCCGAACCCTGAAAAATAGTAAGAGCAACGAGTTACTGTAGAGCCGTCCTTCCCAGCCTGTCGCAGGACTTCTTTTGAATCCCAGCTCAGCGTCCCCCTCCTCTGCCTGTGTGCTTTCAAACGAAGTCCAGGAGTCCTGTCTTCACGTCCCCCCTCATTTCTCACGCCCAGCAAGAGGCCAGGAGCCTCCATTTGCCCCAGAAAAAAAGCTGGTCTCTTCCTTTCTCAATTTCTTTCACCATCCTCCACCCACCCTACAACTATTTTATCAGCCTTCAGTGTTGAGTCTCCTGACTCTGGAGATACAGGGCCTTAGGCACTCCATGAATCACCGCTGTGTAAGGAATGACCCAAGTCATCTGCATGACAGTGACATTCAGCCTCTCAACTTTCCTTTAAGGCAAGGCTACTTCCTGGCCCCACTTTACAGGAGCAAGGACTGAGGCACAGGGGTCAATCCAGACGCTAAAGGTCACAGTGCAAGAAGATGGAAGAGCCGGGATTCCAACTCCCATCCGGGAAGGTTCACAGCCTGAGCTTCCCTCTGCTAACCACGGGGTCATGCTGCTTAAAAACTAAGAATCTCTAAGAGCATGGGCCAGCTGGGTAAGGGTTCCTTATGATGTCAATGTCATGGGAGAGAGACAGTGCCCTGGGATAGCAGGTGGGAGCAGCAGTTCAGGAGGGGACCTCCTGACTCCCTCCTTCCACAGATTCTGAGTCCCAGCTCAGTCACTTACAAGTGGGGTGACCTCTGTGAGCCTCGGTTTCTCTTTACACAAAATGGGACACTGTGAAGATGTCCAGAACCCAGGAAAGGAAAATGCCCTGGGGCTAGGGATGCAGTTCAGCGACAGAACCAAGCACAGGGCCAGCCTGCATGAGAGCCTGAGTAATAGATAAGAAGATTGAGGACAGCTGCAGGGGGCAGGGACTCTCCACACCTGTTAGGAAGGTGAATGGCTTCCTCCAATTTCCTGGGACTTACAGCAGGCCCACCTCTAACCTTCTAGGCTTACAAAACACCTGTTGGAACGTATTCTTTTTTTTTTTTCTTTTTTGTGGTGCTGGGGCTCAAGCCCAGGGCTCCGTGCCTGTGAGGCAAGCGCTCTAACTGATCTGTATCCCCAGCCCAGAGCGTTTCATTTACTCCCCCCCCCCCAACCTCTCTGGAGAGCAAGTCAAAATGCCCCTGCACACACGCACACTCCAGGGGCCTGGCGGATGTTGACGGGCCACTTGGCCCCGAGGTGGAGTCTCAGCGAAGAGGAACAGTTGGTTTCAAGAGAATCAGTGACAGCTGGGGCTTGGCGCACCGAAAACAATCCAGGCTGAAAAGGTTTTGGCTGAGACAGTCCCTGGGACGGCCAGGAGGGAGCCCGGCGCCCTCGGACCTTGAATCCCTACCAGCCCCTGCCCGAGGGGAGCAGCCCCCCGTTAACTCAGCACCGGGGAGCAGCGGCTGGGAGGTTCATTTGTCACGGGGGCACTTCCTGCCCGTAAGTCAGCCTTTGTCCCCTGGGGCCAGGGGGTGGGGACAAGCCCGATCTCGGGAAGGGTAGGAAGGCGGGGTCCAGTCCAGTCCGCTGGCTGGGCAAACAGAACAGCAGGTAGGTCCCTGGAGGGTCACTGTCCTCAGGGGTACGAAAGGACTCCAGAGGGGGCCTGCTCCAAGCGGGGTACTTGCCCGGACCCTCCCCTAGCAAGTCCTGCCTGTCCTGACCCCCTGTCCTGGGGACCGCGGAGGCGCCCCCTCCTCCACTTTCCAGGTCGCCCGAACTGAGCTGGACTCCCTCGGGCGATGACATCTTCCCAACCTGGGACGACGTGCAGCACCTGCCCGGTCCGGCCCGCCACCCCGGAGCCGCCCACCAGCCCCGGCCGCTGCATACCAGTCACCACCACCGCCTTCCTGGGCTGTTCCATGGCGGGATCCAGCTGCGCCTCGGACCCGCTGCTGTTGGGACTGGCGAGTCCGTCGCCGCCCCAGCCGCCGCCGGGACTCCGCGCAGCCCCGCCCTGGCCCCGCCCCTGGCCCCGCCCCCGGGCGCCCGCTCGGCGTGCGCGCCCCCGGCCACACCCCCAGCCTCTCCCCCCAGCCACGCCCCAGTCGGGCTTTGGGGACGCAAGTTCCCAGTCCCGCCCCGGCCGGGCGCTCAGCGTGCGCGTCCCCGCAGGTCCCAGCTGTACCCCGCCGGCCGATCGGCGTGCGCGCCCCCGGGCGCCAGACGTCGCTTGCGCGGCCTGCACGCCGCCACCCTTGGCTGCGCCCCAGGACGCCCGCCCAGCGCTCACCAGCCGGTCCCTACCTGCCAGCGGGCTAGTCCGCCCCGCGGGTTGTGGCAGCTGTCCGTCTAAGAGCCTGGCGCCGCGGACTCGCAGGTCGTTTGTACTGCCAGTATACATTAAGCGCCTACTGTCAGCCTACTGCCAAAAATTGGGAGCAGGAAGAACCAACCGGGGACGGTTCACCACCCGCTTATTCACAGCGTTTTGCACATGGGGAAACCAAGGCACAGCTCCAGACCATTTGCCCTGGGCCACTTCTCGAACTTGGAAGGGGTCACAGAAGCTGCATTCAGGCCAGGAAGTTGAGGGGAAGAGCGGAATTAAAGAGGAAAAGCACTGACTACATTGGGCTGTTGCTAAGGAAGCTAATGTGGCCTCAGAGCCCTCAGTCTCCCCCACGCTGTCTCCGAGCCCAGCTGCCTCCCAAGGCCTAACACTGTTCCCTCTGCCTGGAACAGCCCCCAGGTACCTGCAACCGGACTGTTCCTCCTCCTTCACACCTCATTTCCGATCTTCTCCCTCCCTAGGGCCCTCCCCACCTTGTCCCTGGTGGTTACCTCCTCTGAAGGTCACCTATCTCCCTGTCACCTCCTGCAAGGGTTCTTTCCCACCCAAGCTGAAATTACCCCACCCACACTGAGGGTCCTTCTCATTTCCTGGTTCCATCTCTTTGTTAGCGGTGAAGCTCAGAAGTCATCGCTTTCTCCTCTCTGCCTTTCTATTTAACTCCTCATTTCCATTGACAAAGGGATTAGACCTTCCAGAGCAGGAAGTATCTGTTAGGGCTGCGACCTGGTACCCACAGCATCCCCTAGCGCAGGGTAAGTGCCCTGCCGACGACGTGCAGATTTCCTCCAAAAACAGCCAGAAAAGTACAGCTTGAGTTTCTGGCCAAGTCCTCGGAGACAGGGCTGGACCTTGGACTTGGATCTCTGGCTTCTCATTCCAAAGGCCTTGACTCCGCCCCCATTCACCAGGACTCTGGGCGAGGACTGGCTCCCCCCTGCACCCTTCCAACATCCAGGGCAGAATTCTCTGGACTGCCCCGGGGCTTTATTTGCGAGCTTAGGCTTGAGATCACATGCTCAGAAGCTATTTTGGTGTTTGGCAGCTTCAGGTAGAATTCAGAAAATCTGAGAGCCAGCCTGGGCCGGTTGTGAGAGCTACAGCCAAGCCCATGGGAGCAGAGAGCTGACCAAAACACCGCCCAAGTTTGTTGTTTTTAAATATTATGTGGATTTTTAACCTTTATTTTATTTATGTATTTTTATGTGGTGCTGACGATGGAACCCAGTGCCTCACATGTGCTAGGCAAGCGCTCTGCCACTGAGCCACATCCCCAGCCCCCAAGTCACGTTTTATAATTCAGATATTTATAGGCAGCCTTCTCTATCCACAGTTTCTACAGCCACAGATTCAACTAACCCCTTATGAAAACTATTTGGAAAAAAAACAGTATCCGGCACCTACGGACCCTTTTCCTTCTCATTCCCTAAACAATATGGTACAACTATTCACCTAGCATTCATATGGCATTAAGTATTACAAATCATCAAGAAATTATTTAAAATTTATGGGAGAGTATGTGTTTGGTGCAATCCCAGCTATTGGGAGACTGAAGCAGGAGGATCACAAGTTCAAGGTCAGCCTCAGTAACAGTGAGATCTGGTCTCAAAATAAATAAATAAATAAAAACAATGAATAAATAAAAGGGCTGGGGTGTAGTTCAGCGCTATAGTGCCCCTGGGTTCAACCCCCCAGTACTGCAAACAAAAAACTAATAAAATGAAATTTATGGGAGGGTGGGCATAGGTTCTGCACAAATATAATGCTCTTTTATATGAGGGACTTGAGCATCCAGATTTTGGTATCTGCAGAGGGTCCCGGAGCCTGTTCCCTGCGTATATCAGGAATGACTGTAAGAAATGCCTGGTGCAGAGTCTCTTGCTAGGAATCAGGGACAGGCAGAGAGGGAGCCCACAGCAGTTTTCCATTTCCCCTGCTGCACTGACAGAAGGGTGACAGGAAGCAAAAACCATCAGAGTGATGGGGAGAAATGGAGTCACACACTACTGTCCCATGTGACCGCTGATAAAGAGGAACATTCAAGAACTGACCACGCACAGGCTCAGAGCTAAGCACTGACAAAATTTCTCTCTCTCTCTCTCTCTCTTTTTTTTTTTTTTTTTGTACCAGGGATTAAACCCAGGCGCTCTTTTTTTTTTTTTTTTTTTAATATTTATTTTTTAGGTGTAGATGGACACAACACAATGCCTTTATTTTTATGTGGTGCTGAGGATCCAACCCGGGTCCCGCCTGTGCTCGGGGAGTGCTCCACAGCTGAGCCACAATCCTAGCCCCTAAACCTGGGGACTCTTAACTACTGAGCCGCATCCATAGCCCTTTTTATTTTATTTTTATTCTTTTTTATTTAGAGACAGGGTCTTACTGAGTTGCTTAGGACCTCACTAAGTTGCTGGGGCTGGCTCCTGCCTCGGCCTCCCTAGCCGCTGGGACTACAGGCCTGCACCATGGGCCTGGCTGGGAGGGACTATTTTTAACCCATGCTGCAAAGTGAGCCAACTGAAACCCAGAGTAGTGAAGTCCCAGGTCCCACACGGGTGGGGCTGGGATTTGCAGCAGAAGTGAACAGACACATCCTTAGGGGAAGAGAGTCCTCCCCAAAGTCATTCCTTACTGGAGCTTCCAGGATGAAAGTTCAAGGGCAATCTGCAACAGACCGCCTGAGCAGGTGGAGGTGGAAGGGGGGGGATTGGGGTGTGGCCCCTGGGTAGGATGCTTGCCCAACATGCAGGAGACCCCAGGTTCCATCTCCAACATCACAACAAACAACAAAACTCCCACCTCACTGAAAAGTCAAGTGCAATAAAGCAGGCAGCTGCTGCGGAACAGCTTGGCAGTTCCTTAGGAAGTTAAATACAGAGTTAATTTAGGACCAAGTAATTCCACTCCTAGATATAGAACCAGAGCAACTGAAGACACATGTTCAGGATGTTCACGACAGCACCATTCACAATGGCTAAAAGGTTGAGTGAAACAAATTCCTAGCAATGAGGAAGTAAACTGTGGCATAATTTATACTATAGAATATTACTCAGCCCTAAAAAAGAGAGTGTAATATGGACACATGCTACATTGTGGGTGAACCTTGAAAACACCCTGAGTGCCAGGTACAGGGACACACACTATAATCCCAGCAGCTCCAGAGGCTGAGGCAGGAGGATGGCGAGTTCAAAGCCAGCCTCAGCAACAACAAGGTGCTAAGCAACTCTTTAAGACTCTGTCTCTAAATAAAATACAAAACAGATAAAACAGGCTCAGGGAGATGGAAACAGGCTGGGGATGGGCTCAGTCATAAAGCACCACTGCATTCAGTCCCTGGTTAAAAAAAAAAAAAAAAAAAAGAGTTCAAGTCCAGTCTGAGCCTCTCTGAATGAATAAATAAAAAACAAAAATTTTAAAAGCCAAGTGTGTAATGAAAAATGTAAAAGAAAGAAAGCACTTTCAATGTGTTCGTAAATGCATAAACTATCTCAGAAAGGAAACATGGGAAATTAACAATCCCATGGGTCCCTCCCCAGGATGGGGTGGGGTGGGTGAGTACCCCAGTGGATGGAGTACCCCAATGTCTTTTGCATCCTGTACACACGTTAACTACTCATAAATAAGTATATACATCTTCCTTTTTCTTAAAAAAATAGAGTTTTTTTAATTGTTGATAAATATTATAACATAAAATTTACCATCTGAACCATTTGCTAATCTCTAGTTCAGCAGCATTAAGAATAGTCATATTGCCAGGTGGGGGAGGCTGAAGCAGAAGGCTCTCAAGTTCAAAGCTGGCCTCAGCAACTTAGAGGCCCAAAGCAACTCAGCAAGACCCTGTCTTTAAAATATTTTTTTTATTTTTTAAAAGGGCTGAGGATGTGGCTCAGTGATTAAGCTCAATCCCCATATAAAAAAGAAATAAATTGGGTCACCAGCTAGTCAGCTTTCTGTTAACTGTAACAAATAGCTGAGATAATTCACTTATAAAGAGAAAGGTATATTTTGGCTCACGGCGAGAGGTTTCGGCCCAGATTGGTTATCACCATGGCTTGGACCTGTGCTGAGGCCACAGCACATCATGGCAGGAGTTAGTGGCCGATCAGGATGCCCGACTTCATGGTTGAGATGCGAAAGAGAGAGGAAGACGAAGTAACTAAGGACCCCCTGTCCCACACACCCCAGTAACGGGAAGACCTCCTACTAGGTCCCACATTTTAAAGGAGCCACCACAAAGCTAGAAACTAAATCTTTTTTAAAAAAAAAGTTTAATAAATTTATTTTTAGTTGTAGTTGGACACAGTGCCTTTATTTTATTTATTTATTGTTATGTGGGGCTGAGGTTCCAACCCAGGGCCTCACATGTGCTAGGCAAGCGCTCTACCGCTGAGCCCCAGCCCCAGCCCTGGGGAAACTAAATCTTGAATGCATGGGCTCTGGGGGACATTCCAGGACCAAACTGGCATACAAGAGCAGATGAGGATTGCTGGGCACGGTGGCGCATGTGATCTCAGCAACTCAGGAGGCTGAGGCAGAAGTATTACAAGTTTGAGACCAGACTCAGCAACTTATGGAGACCATGTCTCGAAATCCCTGGGTTCAATCCCCAGTACCCCACCCCACAAAACAAGAAAAGAAAAAGGAAAGAAAGGATGAGGGTTTATGAAGCATCAGGTATAGCTAGATCCAGGGTTAAATAAGGGATGACTTTATAGTGGGGAAACGGCCAGGTTGTGTACATGAACCACATGGCTCCAGACTGCAATCCTAGAACACTCCAGCGAAGACCCCAGATGGGCCAGGCCTGGGTCGTGTGTCCATGACGACGGTGGAGGGGAAACTACTGAACAGTCCCCTGTTAGAGGCCCATATAAACTCTCATACTCCGCTCCTGCAAGTCAGAGCCTGGAGGTCTTAAAATGGCAATTGCAACGCAGCAGAAAGCAAATAACGCTGGAAGTCAGGGCCAGGTGCTGAAGTTCAAAGTATAAGAGATGGATGGCTAGATTTTGGAGGGCGGGCAGTTAGGGAAGAGATCATGAGGCAGGTATGCACTGGTAAGGGGCTTTTTTGTTTGTTTGTTTCTTTTCTTTCCTTTCTTTCTTTTTTTTTTTTTTTGTATTGGGGAGTGAACCCAGTAGGATACTTTATCTTTCAGCTACATTCCTAGTTCTTTTTATTCTTTTATTTTGAGACAGGGTCTTCTTGCTAAATTGCTGAGACTGGCCTCAAATTTGCAATCCTCCTGACTCAGTCTCCCAAGTGGCTGGGATTACAGGTATGCACCACAGCACCCAACTTAGTGTAGGTTGTTTTTTTCCCTTATTTTAAAAATTGGTGTGTTATAGTTGTACATAATGGTGGGATTTCTTTTTACACATTTGTACATGTACACAATAAAATTTGGCCAATATTGCCACATGTGGTGGTGCACACCTGTAATCCCAGCAGCTCTGGAGGCTGAGGCAGGAGGATCATGAGTTCAAAGCCAGTCTCGGCAAAGGTGAGGTGCTAAGTAACTCAGTTGAGACACTGGTCTCTAAATAAAATGTAAAATAGGGCTGGGGATGTAACTCAGTGGTTAAGTGCCCCTGAGTTCAATCCCCAGTATCTCCCCACAAACACACACACAAAACCCCAACTTAGCACAGGGGATGTGGCTCAGGGGTAGAGCACTTGCCTAGCATGCATAAAATCCTGGGTTCTACCACTAGCACCAGAGGAGGATAAAAAACTTCTTGGGCTCACCTTAGTGGAAGGTTACAGCTCATGACTTCAGGTATAGCTGGATCCAGGAACTCACCTGTGCCCTTCTTTCCACTGAGTAACTCCAGTGTCATTCATATATATATCTTTTTTTTCTTTTTCTGAAGAAAGTTTCACCCAGAATATTGATCTTGATGGCACTGAATTTTCATTATCTTATTTTATGCCTTTCAGCTTTCAGGATTATTATTCTTGTGCAGAGTTTTTATTTGTTTTTAGGTCCTGGGGATGGAACCCAGGGGACTTCACACATGCTAGGCTCCACCCCCAGGCTCCCAGGGCAGAGTTTAATTGGTCTTCATAAATCTTCTTTTAACCAATCAGGATGGCTAAGGGGAGGGCGAACTCTCAGGGGCCCACCTATGGTTGAAAGAGCTCACAAAAACTGCAGTAACCGAGGTCTGCCACATGGTGTCGCCCAAGCTGGGGTTTTAAGACTGAATCACTGTTCGCCTGTTGGGGGAAAGGAAGACTTAGAAAAGTCTAGAAAAAGTCATAAAATGGTGACCCAGCATTCAATTTTCTTCCGACTTCCATGGCCATATTGATGCTGGGACATCGCATGGACCCAGTTTCTCTTGTTTACATCCCTCGGGCTTTGCCTTTGGCAAACGAGGCTTGGCCAGGCGCCGGGATCCCTCTAACCCAGTTGGCATCCCACCCGCGTCCTCCCGTCTCAGACCTCACCAGCGTGTCTGGGCCACCCAGAGCTGGCCCTGGGCAAAGCTCATCACGAACGTTGGCATCACCTTCAATGCCTGGAATTCACACAGCCCTCCTCTTAGGGGAAGCCCCGGCTCCCCACAGGCCTCCCAGGAAGGGAGATGGGGATGAGGACTTCATCTCCCACGTTCCTGAGCCGCGTCCCCTCAGCCCTCAGTGTCCACACGGGGCTGCCTGTTGTTAGGGACCCTGGGTTTTCTTGGACACTGGAGCAGGGCCAGCCCCCAGGGTCAGGGATTCAGATGCCTCGGTAGCAGCCCTGAGCAATGATGCGAGGAACTTGAAGACTAAATGTATTAGTCCCCCTTCCCGTGGGGCGGAACCACCATAAGGCTCAGGGTCCCTGAGGTCCCCCGTGGGACTGACCCCCATTGCCACCACACCATCTGCTCCTTGACATCTCATGTAGGGCTCCTTCCTGCTTTGTCCTTTGTCCTGCTCAGCTCCAAAGGGGCTGCCTGGGATCACCTGCTAAATGAACCACATGCCCTTGAGTCTTTTTTTTTTTTTTTTAATTTTGTTTTTTAGTTGTAGACGGACACAATACCTTTATTAATTTAACACTTTTTACACCTTTATTTTATTTATCCATTTTTATGTGTGCGTAGGATCTAACCCAGGGCCTCACACGCGCTAGGCAAGCGCTCTACCACCGAGCTACACCCCAGCCCTGCCCTTGAGTCTTTACCTCAGCATTGGCTTCTGGGGGTGGGGGAAACCCCAACTTAAGACATAGGCTTCGTGGTCAGGTGCTCCAAAACTGGACCTCCAGTCTTGTCATCTTCTGATTTCAGAAATTCTGTTTACTTCACGAAGTCATTGCCTGAATTCTGCCAACATCTTCCCCCCAAATTCCCTTTGGTGCCAGTTGCTTGAGGAAGTTGACTCCACACTCTTGATCCAGCCAGGGTCACCCCCGAGGTCCTCCTTCTGCCCCTGAGTGGACTTGACATTCTCCAACCCTGTGTTTTCGCTTTTCCTGCCATTTACCATTGCTGGGATTTTTTTGTGGGTTTTGATAGAAAATTTGTCTCAAACTGGCCTAAGCAAAGAAGAACATTTCATGACTCAAAGAACAGCGAAGATCAGGTAGACTGGCTTCAGGCATGGCGGAATTCCTGTTTTTTTCTCCTTCCATCTGGATGTTGTCTTCATTCTGCAAACTGCAGGGAGGCCCGCTGTTGGTCCAGGAATTCTGGGGGCTCTCTGCTTTCTCTTTTGATCCATCAGCCAAGTAACCCTGCTCGTAGGAGGAACACGTCTGAGCTTCAAAGCTCTGTCCTAGCAGAGTTCCTTCTCCCCTTAAAAAGAGGGAAGATTTTAGTGCCCCAAGCCTTCTGGTGGAAGGCAACTAGGTATGTGGATTCCTGTTCTAGTCTTCCCAGATCTCAGAGGCCTAGTACGGGGCCATCTTTCATTAAGAAGTCAAGTATCAGGCGGGGCGCAGTGACGCAACCCTGTAATCTCAGCAGCTTGGGAGGCTGAGGCAGGAGGACCTCAGGTTCAAAGCCAGCCTCAGCAATGGCAAGGCCTTAAACAACTCAGTGAGACCCTGTCTCTAAATAAAATACAAAATAGGGCTGGGGATGTGACTCAGTGGTCGAGTGCCTGAGTTGAATTCCCAGTACCCCCTCAAAAAAAAAAAAAAAAGTCTCCAATCTGCCTCAGAGACAAAGGTTTCTTTCAACTGGAAGCTACTGGTCCTGGGTGTGTAAAGAAAATGATCTGCAGCCAGTCCTGAGGCTCAGAAGGCTAGGACAGGGACCCCTAGTGCACATTTACAGGCCTGAAGATCAAAGCATTAGGCCAAGGATGGATCTTTCCATGGGCACCCAAGTGAGTCTCTCCTAGGAAGTTAGGTACCCCCAAGGGTGTCAACTTCAATCCCATCTGCAGGTTCCGCCTCCATGGATTAACCAAACACAGGTCAAAAATATTTGAGGGGCTGAGGTTGTGGCTCAGTGATAGAGTGCTTGCCTACCATGTGTGAGGCACTGGGTTCGATCAGCACCACATACAAGTAAAATAAAGGTATTGTGTTCATCTACAACTAAAATAATAACCAAAAATTTGAGAAAAAAATTTAAGATGTACAGGCTCCCCCCAATTATTCCTTCCACAACACAATATAAAAGTTATTTACATAGCATTTACATTGTGTTAGGCCCAATAGAGATGATTAAGAGTCTACAGGAGGATGTGTGTAGGTTCTGTGTAAAATACAACACCATTTTACATAAAGGATTTGAGCATCCTGGATTTTGGTATCTCCACGGGGTCCTGGAACCAATTTTGTGGATGCCAAGAGACACCTGTACATTTGTGCTCACCTTGAAGAAATTAACTATTAAAAAAAAAAAGCTACACAGCTAATACTTGGGTTGAGTGATATATCCAAATCCTGATGTTCTGGTACTTGTGAATATGATCTTAATTAAAATGGGGTCTTTGCAGTGAAACAAGGACCTAGAGATGAGATTGCTCTGGATTTAGGGTGGGTTTAATGAGACAAAGGAGTGTCCTTAAAAGAAAAGGAGAGGAGAAACAGAGAAGACGGAGGTGTGAAGAGGCAGTGATCAGAGTGACGCATCTACAAGCTGAGGAACAAGGATCGCTGACAATCACCAGAAAAGCCAGGAGGGAGAGGCAAGGGACAGATAGTCGTTCAGAGCCTCAGGGAGGAGTCAACCCTGTTGACACTTTGCATTATTCTGGCCTCCCAAATAGAATACTGCGTTCTCCCCTCTCCCCCGCCCCGCATCTGCCTGTTTTGTTACTAGGGAATGAACCTGGGGACGCTTTCCCACTGAGCTACATGCCCAGCCCTTTTTATTTTGAGACAGGGTCTCACTACATGGCCCAGCCTGGCGGGCGGCTTGGGACCCTCCCAAGTGGGTGGGATTATAGGCGAGAGGCACTGCGTCAGGCTCAAGATCTGTTCGCAGGCTCCCGGTTTCGGGCACAGCGGCCCCCCCCACACACACACCGCGGCTTTGCTTTCCCTGGTTTCAGTTACCCACGATCAACTGCAGTTCAAATCTACTAAATGGAAAAAGAAACTATTTAAAAATCATTTAAAATATATGAAGTGGAAAATTCCAGAAATAAACAACTCGTAAGATTTAAATTGTGCGTCATTCTGAGCAGCGTGATGCGATCTTGCGGTCCCCTCCGTCCGGTCCCATTAGGCACCTGGGTTGTAGCTGGACGGGCACTGTACGCCAGGGCCTGTTTTCGAAGGACCCTTATTTTACTTAATAATAACAAGGGTAATAGCAATAACGAGAATCGAAACACTAGGATCCCCAAGGGTGACATTAAGGACCTCCCAATAACCGCAGAGGCTCAATTTCTCCCTCTCTGTAGCAACCCTGGAGGCATTAACGGGCTTTGCCCACAGCGAGGAGCCCAGGAGACCAGCGGCGGGTTTCATTTGCGCATGCGTTCTTACCCACAAGGCATCCTGAGCTGGCATGCGCTACTTTGCCCCCTTTTGCATCACTCGCCGGGGCACTTTACGACCTTTTCCCTTAGTTCTCTGGCGGGAACACGGCCTGCCACGCCCACCATGCCCAGAAGGCCCCTCCCCTCTAGGCAAGGATTGGCTGTCTGTTCCTCAAGCCCGGTGCTGACTGGCTCGCGTCTCTGCCACTCCTTTTTAGCTTGGTGGCGCGCGGCGGGGCGGCTACCGGGAGGAGCGTGAGCGGCTGTGGCAGCGGCGGAAGTGGCCGGCGAGCCCGGTCCCCGCCGACAACATGGTGAGGGCAGGTCGACGGTGGGTTCTCCTGGAGGTGGGGGACGCGACCATCCGGGATCCTCGGGGCGGGCTCTAGGGGCCGGGATAAATGTGCAGTGCAAGTCTTGTGTCCCGCCTGTGGCAGGCGGGGAAACTGAGGCCCGAGGCATCAGGGGCCTCCCCAGGGTACCCAGTTCGTCGCTATTCAGGAGTTTGGGGTTGGACGGACACATATTCACAATACAGCAGCCGGCAGCGGTCGTCCTAATTTGTCGGTGGGGTGACAGGACCCGCCAAAGGGCACCGCGAGTGAAGGGGAATGAAGTTTGGAGGGACACCGAGCAAAGTGGCCCAGGCTAATCCCATAGGTTACAGAAAGCTAGTGTGTCGAGAAGTAAGGATCAAGTGAAGCCCGTTTGGGGAGCTAGAGAGCTTGGGAAGTGTTCAGAATGTTGGCAGCACACACTTAGATGCCTCTGGCTTAAAACAGGCACAGGGAGGGGAATCTTTTCTCCCTGGGCCACACAGCATTTCATTCCAGGGAAAGGAGGGGTTCCTGTCCCCAGCCCTGCTGCAGAGGATTGAACCCAGGGCCTCAGTAGATGAGAGCTGTACCGCTAGGCTACTTCTCCAACCCTTTTTCAATTTTATTTTGATTCAAGGTCTTGTTAAATTATCCAGACTGGCCTCGAACTTGTGATCTTCTTCCTTGGACTCCCCAGAACCCGGGATTACAGACATGTGCAGCATGCCCAGTAAAGGCGCATTTTAAGCCAGAGGGGGACAAAGGGAATCCTCCCCATTCACAGAAAGAAAAATTAAGGCCTGAGAATTCTGGGTGAGAAGGTTCTGGTGACTCTGGTGTACAGATATAGACACAGGAATTCAGAGCTGTAAGTTTCTTGGCCTATCAGCATCTATCATTTAGTGAGAGAAATCAAGGATGTTGGTGGGGAAGTGACTTCCAGTCACTCCATGAGATGGTGAGGGATTCTGGAATAGCAGAAGAGATCCCCAAGGGGTGGCTGCACATTTCTCAAACTAAGGTTTAATGAAGGTTTCTAAGTGCTGCTGGCCAGTGCAGGAATTCATAGAGAGCCCCTCTCCCTGCTGCATACCATCCAGCGGGTGGAGTTGGCACTGTAGGATAGGCACTGGAAAGACCCATCTCTGTTCAGCTCCTTGACAGCAGATCTTCATTTTTATCCCCAACACATTAGCAGAGTCTAGAAAGTACTTACACAAGGTACAGACTCGAGACTCTCATTCAGCCTCGTTCCGCCTCCTGAACATCCAGAGTCCTCAAGTCTCGACTTTCTAGGAGTTTCCTGGAGGAGAGCCAAGAGTAGACAGGCAAAACACCGTCACACATTCCCAGTCCCTTGTGGTCAGATTGGAGCCAGAAGGAGCAGCCTGGGGGTGGGCGATCTTGAAAGGCATTGGGTTAGTCCTCAATCCATCCCAACCTGGGGATTAGACCTCTGGAGTTCTAAGAAAGTCTAAAAAAAGGAATCCTCTTACCTGAAACAACTTTTCTAGCCTAAGATTTAGATTTCTGTCACCTGGGTAGAAGACTCCCATCTCACTTGGCACTTTCCTGCTTTTTAAATTTTTCTGTGGTTCTGGGGATGGCAGCCATGGCCTCGCCCATACTCTTGCCTGTGTTCTGACACTGAGCTGCACCCCTTCCTCTGTCTTTTAAGTTCACCAGGATCCACCCCTTCCTCTGATCTCTGTCTGCAGCATGGTTTGGGAATGAGGACATAGAATAAGGCAAGATGCTGTCACTGCTCCAGGCCATTGCAATCTTGCAGAGCCTTGACCTAACAGTCACGTGGCTCCCTGTCCCTGTGCCACCTCTGTCCATCAGAGCCACCCTTGCCTTACCTGTGGGGTGGGGCAAGCATTCTGCTCTGCGTGCCTCCCTGGGTGGCAGCGCACTTCCCTCCTGTATTTATTCAGCAAATATTTACTGAGTCTCTTCTCCCTGGTCCCTGGCCCCGTGTGTGCTTGGCACTAGACAAAGCCCACACCCACTGAGTGTTCCAGTCTAGCCGGGGAGGCAGGTAATATATAAACAAGATAATTAGAGGCTGACGGCAGCCTGTGATGGAAACCAACAGCTGCACAGCAGAGGGTGGCCATTAGGGCTTGGCCAGAGAAGGTGACGTTTTAGCAACCGCCAGCCACTGGAAGGGCACCCTGGGTGGAGGCAACAGCAGGGTGAAGGTTGGCCAGTTTGGCTGTGGCCTCAGACTGGCTTGGCTTACTAGGGGTGGGCTGTCAGGCTGTTTCTGTCCCATCTGTGTCTCAGATGTTTTGTTTTTCTTTCCTTCCGTGCTGGGGTTGAAACCAAGGGCCAGGTGTGTGCTAGACACCTGGTCTACCTCAGGGCCCCATCTGCATGTCCACTCTTGGATACGTTATGAATAGGGACCTGCCAGTCACAGCTGAGGAAACCATGGGTCCTCCTGGGCTGTGCTCCTGGTAGTTGGCACACGTGAAGTCCTGAGGATTGTCCCCAACAAGGAAAGCGTATGTACACTGTAGTATGACATCTGCTCACCTGCTGGCAGCAGGCATCTGTCCCTGCTGGGCTTTCCCAGGGACATGCTTTGCGTTCCTGGGCAGGTCCCTCCCGTGACGAGTGCTGGCATCTAAAATGAATGACTGCCAAGCCCATTTTTCTTCTTGGCATCAAGGGCCAGCCTGTTCCCTACCCCCTTCCCAGTGATCTGGAAGAAGCGCCCATGCATTTCCTCCCCCTGGGTCCAGGTGCCCATTGTGGACGTAAGAAAGCAAGCAGGCCAGTGTGAGGCTCCTGAGTGTACCTACCGCCGGGGCAGTGTTGCCGGGCTACATCCCAAAGGCAAAGGCAGGAGCCCTCCGGAGCCCAGCCCGCCCACCAGGGCCCAGCAGCCACTCCTTCAGTGCTTGGCCTCTTCCTCCTTATCTTGCCTTTCCAGGAAGCCAGCACAGGAAGTGGGCTTGGGCCTGGCTTCCTGCTGGCTTGGGACCTCCTCCAGGCAGCTCTTCTCAGGAAGGGCCTGTGGGATGTAGGATTCCCTCCCCCAAGGCCTTCAAGGCCCAGGGAAGAGCAGCCACCTTGCGGCTGGGCCAGGACTCCCCTGCAAAGGCTTCTGGGGATTGGGCTGACTGGGATTCCAGAGTCACGGGGGTGGGGGGAGGGCACTGAAGCCCTGTCTTCTGTGAGGTGTTTTCTCAGCCCTGGGGCCCTCAGAGCCAGAACCTTCATCCTGGCCACACTGGGATGGACTCTGGACCCAGGCACTGCCACCTGAGTCACCCTTCTTTCTGGAAGCCCAGAGGCAGTCCCCAGGGAGTGAGTCATTCTTTGTGTTTCCAAAATGAAAAGAGCTGATTTTTTCCCCCCAGTTATAAAAATACTACCAAGGGCTGGAGGCGGAGTTCAGTGGTAGAGCCTAGTGCTTGAGATCCTGGGGCCCTGGGTTCAGCCCCAACACCAGGAAAAACAAAAACACCAAACTACCAGGCCAGGTACTGGGGCATGTGCCTGTGGTGCCAGCTGCCTGTGCAGCTGAGGCAGGATTGCTTGAGCCCAGCCTGGGAACATAGCGAGACCCCATCTCAAAACAAAAATATTACATATTTGTCATGAAAGAGGAATTCAGTAGTAATAGAAAAAGGAAAAATCGAGTTATCTGTGTGTGTGTAAAGATTCCATCTGTTTGTTGTCTGCCATTGCCTGCAAAAAGAAGCAGGCTTTTTCTGGAATATTCTTCTGCCTTCCTTTGGTGAATATCTTTGAACCCCCAGCTCAGATGTGTCTACTTCAGGTTGGGGTTGACCCCTCAATAGGGCCTGGCAGAGTCAGTTGTGGGCCAGTGGGGCGTGGGCTTAGGCCAACCTGGGGCAGACAGGGTCAGGTTGGGCCTGTATCTTCCCAGCTGCCTGCCATTCAGCAAGTTCCTTGGCCTCTGCACTGAAGCATCCCTGCCTCCATCCTGTCCGGTTGTCTCGGGCAGGGGAAATGGTCCTGGGCTGGGGTGGTGGTGGCTGCAGCCCCAGATATAAGCGTGGTGTCTCAGTACACCCAGGCGGCGGGTTCCAGGCCTCTCCTGGACACCCAGACCCACGTGGGTGCTCGGGTAACCTCGTGGATTAGGATCCCCATGGCACCCGTGCACGCCCCCAGTGGACGATCAGCCCTCCCTAGAGTCAGGAGACCCCGCGCGGCTGCCATGCTGTGTGCAGAGTTGGTTCGCTGTGTTGTTTGAGGAGTAATAACAACAAAATCCATGTCTCCAGTACAGACACAATTTTATTTTCTTCAAATATTTTCCATCTGCATTTGGTTGGGTACCCCTGATGCAGAGGCCAGTCACAGGCGCAGAGGCATCTTGGACACCGTGTGGTCGAGTAGAAAATGCAGGCGACACAGGGACCCGTGTTGTGATGCTGTCTGTAAACCCGAAGGCAGGGCCCTGCTCTGCACTGGGTGTGGGTAAATGTAGCAAGAGTTGTGAAGAAATGACCAGAACGGTCAGCACCAAGGCCAGGAGGCAGCTGCCTCTGTGAGGGGAGGGCATGAGACTCCTGGTCCATGAGATGGGTGTGTGTGGTGGGGTGGGCTGAGGGAGGAGAGGCGCTGTCGTTTGGGGTGGTCCAGGTTCGCTCCTGCACTCCCAAGGGGCATTGGGGGTGCTGGTCAGACAAGTCACGTGACTTTGTTTGCCTTGCAGCTTCCCTTATCGCTGCTGAAGACAGCTCAGAACCACCCCATGGTGAGTAGGTGCTGGGCTAAGGTGGCCTGTTCAGAGGGGACATGTTGAGGGTGGAGACAGGCCCCTCTGGATGGGGGATTTCCTGCTTGTCTGAACACCAAGGCTCGTTCTCTCTTCCCTCCCAACTATGTTCACACCCAAGATGTTTCTGCTCCTTAGGAAGGTGGCACATGCTGCCATGCGCAGTGGCAGCTTGTGATCCCCGTCCCTTGAGCAGCCAGGGCAAGAGAATTTGGTTAAAGGTCAGCCTGGGCAACTTAGCGAGATCCTCTCTCAAAATAATAAAAATGGCCTGGGCGCAGCTCAGTAGTGGAGCACCACTGGGTTCAGCCCCCGCAGACGTAAGGGAATCAGGGGACGGACTTTGCTCCTGAAACTACTTTTGTCTTCAATAATACACGTGGCCGCTGTCCACATCAGTGAGCTGTTTCTCTTTTATATTTTTTTCTTCAAGTGTAACCAACACGCCACACAGCGGAGCCGGCTCCACTGTGTGTTCCTCAGGCCTGGCCTCGGCACGTACCCTGGTGTCTGCCTTGAAACATACAATGCAGTGGCGTTAGCACACGCACAGCTTGGGAAGAACATTCGTGGCCCCCAGAAGAGACCCTGTCCCCATTAGCAGTCACTCCATTTCCCTTCCCCAGCCTAGTACAGCTACTGATCTGCTTTCTGTTCCGGGTGCACAAGTTCTGGACATTCCATATGAACATGGGATGGAGAACATGTGGCCTTTCGTGTCTGGCCTCCTTCATGGACATTGTGTTCTTGAGGTTCACCCTGTGATAGTGTCAGTGCTCCATTGTGGCCAGATGACATTCCGTTGTAGGCAGACCACATTGTGTTCACACATTTATCTGTTAATGGGCTTTCTAACGATGTCCACTCTTGCGCTGTTGCAAATAGTAAATAGTGTCATTGCAAATACACATCTTTATTCATATTGTTTCTCTTGGGCAGAGATCATAGTTGATTTTTTTTTTTTTTTTGGTGGTGCTGGGGCTGGAACCCAGGGTCTTGTGCATCTTGTGCGTGTTAGGTACCTGCTAGCCACTGAGCAGTGCCCCCCACTGTGATTCTTTTTTTTTTTTTTTCTTTCAGTCTCAGCCTTTCCCCAGCAGTAGCATATTTAGAATGATGTGCTACTTACCTTTGTCCTCAAACCACATCAAAAAAGGCAATTATTGTTGCTGTGAGGAACAGCATTTCCAGGCCACCAAAGTCCACATAGTCAGGCGCGGTGACGCACACCTATAATCCCAGCAGCTCTGGAGGCTGAGGCAGGAGGATTGTGAGTTCAAAGCCAGCCTCAGCAAAAGCAAGGTGCTAAGCAACTCAGTGAGACCGTCTCTAAATAAAATACAAAATAGGGCTGGGGATGTGGCTCAGTGGTTGAGTGCCCTGAGTTCAATCCCTGGTACCCAAAAAAGAAATAAAAATTTTAAAAATCAGTGGTTAAGTGCATCTTGGCTTTAATCCCTATTTTTAAATTTTGTTTTTAAGTTTTAAAATATTTTTATTAAATATTTATTCAATATGAAGTTTTTTTTTAATATTTATTTTTTAGGTGTAGATGGACACAACACAATGCCTTTATTTTTATGAGGTGCTGAGGATTGAACCCGGGTCCCGACCGTGCTAGGCGAGCGCTCTACCGCTGAGCCATAA